TATTACCTAACTCTGCCACTACCTTATACTACATATTGACTGAAACTTTGCTGCGCATGCATAATAACTTGCCTGCACAGTTAACTCTGCGTTTTTGCAAATTGCCAAATATTTTTGAGGCAGCCCTAAAATTATCGAGCTGCTATTTTATCTGGTAAAACTAGTGCATTCAAATATGACAATTTAAACCCAGTTATTAAATAAACAAGGTTAGAAAAGGTCTAAGCAAACTTTGTCACTCATGTTTTGAAGTGAAATGCATAAGAAAGTATATGAAAAAACAGACATTCCATGTCATAATTTTTTAATCAGATATTAATGACCTCAGCTATTCTAGAATCATGATGATGATAGTATTTTATTAACCCCTTGATGATAGGTGAAGAAAACTATAAAAAAAAATATCACCAGCTTGTAGGGCTTTGGCACGCCGCCGCAGCATACAGCTACATGCCACAGATCAAGCACTTTGTTTTGACACTGTCGGGAAGGGGTTAAATAAATTTAATAAAAACAAAAGTTTGGAAATATATGATATTTCTGTCTTTTGCCAACATTTCCTTTTCCCTTTTCCAGAATATTCACAGATTGGTTACCATTTCACTTGAATATATGTTCATCTGAAATGCAAAAAAACAAATTATCCTTATATATTGAATTGTTCTTCCTTGTTCAGTCATGAAATAGTTGTGTAATATATATTATTATATTTCATGTAGACTCATTCCTATTACTATTATGGATAAGGAAGGAGGAACATGATAACAGACAATAATATTGCTCATGCTTTAGAGAGAATTACAAAAGAGAGAGTAAAATAAACATTTATGGATAGTATTTTTTTTTTCAGTCTTTCTTTCTCTCTTTCTTTTTTTCTTTACTTCTCTCTTTCTTCCAATGAGGGAACTGTCAAGTCAGAATAAGAATCAGTCCATAAATGGTATGCAGAGGGAAAGACAAATATAGGTAACAGGTATTTTATCATGTATTTAGTTTATATTTATTTTACTTTATTATTAACATTTGTGATAAATTTCATAGAATCATTCAGCCTTTTAGAGAGTGTAACATGCAAGCAGTGTAACTAAGGGAGGGTATTAACTTTCATTTCGGAAATTAAGACAGGGAACGTCTGATTATGAATGTACTTTCTCATGTATATAATTTCAAATATTAAAACATAATTGGCAAAGTTTGCTTAGACTTTAACTATTTATTTAACGGGATATATATTATACTTGAATGCACTAGTTTTACCAGATAACTTACCTTAGGGTGGCTGCAAATTTATTTGGCCAGCTGTACCATGTGGCTGAGTGGAACTGAACTCAGGTTATATATATATCCTGCAATCTAGGCCTGGGTTGCAATTGCACAATAACAGGGTAACTGCATGGTCAAATTTGAATAACAATTAATTGTGTACTTTGATATATAGAGCAATGCCAGCCTAGCCTCCTGCAACAGATGGCAGTTCCTTTAAATCTTATTCTTTAATTTTTAACCCTGCATTTTCCCTGTTGTGCTCTGTGCCCTTTCTTACTCTCAGGATTCCAGATTGTAAGGTATAGGGGAATTTTATCATTTTGATAACTATACATATTAATACTAGGAGACAAAGAGGAATCCATCAAGTACCAGTATTGGCGTGATTTACAGCTTGCCCTTGTTCAGAATATCCATGTCGAGTAATTCATGAGGACATATTTTCTAGCAAGATAGAGCCTGTTGACTTCCCAGGCAGTTTCAGATAATAAACTAGCCCAAGCTCTATCTTGCCAGGATATAAATGGTAAAAGTCTGTTGGCTTTGATGGAGGCCAAAACAGTAACATTGGTGCTTAATATTTAGCTAGCAGCACATTGAAATAATTTATGAAAGAAAAATATATGGTCCCCAAGATATAGCACCAGCTTGAGTCCTTTAATGTGGGAGGCCAACATCTAATCCAAAATATACTAATTGGTGTAAGTCTAGCAGTCAGTGGCGGTTGGTCACGCTTGTCAGATTCAGCAATGTACCTCTAGACAAAATAAAAAGCCAAGTAGTTTACACTAGAGGATAGAACCCAGGACATTCACACTTTTCTTCTATATATTTTGTGTGCAGTACTGAGCAAAATTTGATGTTAGTTAAAAGAAATAGTGGTTTGGTAGTGTATCCTACTTATAGGGAATTGACCAGAATCTTTGAAACATTTTCTTTCAGAGTACTTTTGGTTTACGGCAGCAGGCGAGGCTTCGCCGAGAATACTTGTATCGCAAAAGCATTGAAGAGCGAAATGCTGCCATGCAACAAAGGAAAGATAAGATTAAAGGGGCATTGCAAGGTATGTTCATTTTGTTTTGTAATAAACTCTAAAGGTATATGTTAATTACATAGTCTACATATATAGTTATGCATATCAAAAGTATATAGATGAAAAAAAATAAAATAAAAAAACATCTTGATATACAGAGCGGAGAAAATATGTGATTTAATCATCAACAGATGGGAAGGA